TCCAGGCCGTCTACACAATGTAATAACGCACCTCCTACACCCTTACTGGACGCACCTACGGCTAACACCACTTCTACATCATTATTAAAACACACTAGAACTGGTTCTCTCTCGATTCTAGATTTCAAACCCTCAAAAGCCTCCTCCTGTTCATTTTTCCATTCAAATTTTTATCCTTTCTTAAGTAATTTATACAATGGCGCTGCTATCTTAGTAAATCCCTCCACGAACCGATGGTAATAGTTAACCATTCCTAAAAAGGCCTGCACTTCAACTTTATTGCTATTATTAAATTTCCTTCAAATTCTTGTTCAAAGGTGGTACCTCCTTTCTAGTAATTTTGTTTCCAAGATATATCACCTCCATAACTCCTAACACACTTTTTTCAGCACTTGGTTGCAAACCCCTTTCCTTTATTCTCCTAAACACCTCCTCCAATCTCCGTTCATGCTGATCGGGAGTTCTTTCAGTCACCAACACATCGTCCATATAGTAGAAAACTACCTCCATTTCTTGAAAAACGGCCGCCATTGTAAGGTGAAAAATTGGAGCTGATACACTAAGTCCAAACGGCAATCTACAAAACGCAGACAATCTCTTCGGCGTAGTAATAGTCAATAAATTTTGCATTTCCCGCAATTGTTAATTCTCTTCTTTACCCATTGATTCAATTCTATTCCCCACTCGAATGGTACTCGTCGCAATCCACAAAATTATGGCACACAACCCTTCTTAATTTTATACTTCATAGTCTCTCAGACATCCCAAACTTTCGTCAAAAATCTCTTGATAATTCTACACTAATTTACCCACTCCTTCTTGCACTTTGATTATTCCTAATTCCATCTCTTTCGCAATTCCGTGTCGTTACGCAGATTCTTTTTCTTTATTTCCACTTCAACTTCTAGAATACGGGCTTTTCCTTTCCCATTTTGTAACTCTTTGATCTCCTTCGTACACATCTCGGGCAACCTCCTTTCATTCAAAAAATTCATATCGTCTTCCCCCTATAGGTCTTCTCCATTTCTCCTCTAGAATTATTTTCCCCGATTTTCTTCCTTGAACTATTCGTCCCACTTACCCCCTTAGAATTACTTTTATAAATGAGTCCCCCCGATTACTCCTCCATGATTCCCCCCGATTACTCCCCAATGAGTCCCCCCGATTACAACCTCCGATTTCTCTTTTAAAAATATTCTCCCCTATTTCCCCCCCTAGAATCTTGTACCCCTATTTCCCTTTTAGACTTAATTTCGCTTATTCCCTCCTTTCCTAAGAATACTCTCCTCTCACTCTCAGTCTCTTTCCTTATCTATATGATACTTCCTCGCTCTCTTCTCTCTCTTTTCCTACTAAACGCCGCCCCTGGTAATGATTCTACGTATTCCTCCGATATATCCTCATAAACATTTTGTCTAGTTAGGGGTACACACCCAACCATAAAAATACTCCCCAAAAACTATACCACGGCCCAATTCAGGTGGTCCAGTCCCACCCCATTACCGCTTCAACCTTCCAATGGATAATCCACAAATCTAATATTTCCACTCGTTCTCCCAATATCGCTTCTATTTCAACTCTCCCCATCACAGATACTTGTGGACCAATCGAATTGTCGTATTCTCAATCCTCTATTTTTGATAATCTTATCATGCCAAATACTCCTATATTTATTGTATCCAATTACCGAAATAGCCACTCCCGTGTCAAATAACATTGGCACCATACTTCCATCAAAATTTATCATTACTCTCGGACAAGGGTCATGTACTATTCCTTTTTATATCATATTTATATATCCCATAATTTTTACATTTTTAGGAGACCACTCTTTGCATGTCTCCTTGAACCTCCTTGCCTTGACCCGCGTAATTTTACTGCCATCATATAGTTAACAATTCTCACATTCTCTCGCCACATGTCCTTTTTGACAACATCTAAAGCACTCCATCTTTTGCTCCTCAGTTTGCTCTAAAATATGTTCAACAATCCCTTCCATTTTCTCGCTCTCAATAGCCAGCACATTCGGGGCATTCTGAACCATTATTATCTGCGAACCTCCTCTAGTGTTATAATTGTTCGAATTGCACTCCTCTTTATTGTGACCAAATCGTCCACACCCTGCACACCGCAATTTTTCTTGTTTTCCCGGACACTACGGAGCTATATGTCCAAATTTCCAGATTCAAAACATTTAGTTTCCCGACACCCGGACCATATGTCCTTGTTTTCCACAATTATAACAATTTGAATTCATATTTCCTCTTCCACGAGAATCAAAACCTCGTCTCATTTCCATTCTTCTTCCTTGTGAATTTTCTCTTGGTCCCTTCTGCATTTCCCCCACCTTTGACTATCATAGGACTCTTGCCTCCCTGGCCTCAATCTCCGTCCATCCTTGAATTAACTCTTGAACTGATATCCACATCACCTTTCCCATCACATCTTCCTCTCCATTATGTCCTTCTATTGTCAAAGTTTGTCCTTTTATTCTAACACTGCGACTTATCTTCATCCTTCTTCCCCATATTAAACTACACATCCATATTATTGTTATCTCCCAGTATTTAACAAACTTTAAGCTTTTCATCCCGTCGTTATAAAAAAATTTATAATTAATTTCAAAATAAAAATCTTGATTATTTGCAATGTCAGCAGATACGATATTATTAGGAGCGTAAACAATCCAATGATGCACATATACATCCATACTTTATAAGTCTAGATATGACAACAATTTGAGCAAATTTCGTGTAACAAATTTATAATTGATAAAATTTGGCAGCACTTCCGTGTAACAGGTTAATATGACAAAAATTTGGATAAATTCCCTATAATAGCTTTTGGTAAAATTTGGGCATCACTTCCGTACGATAGGATTTTTGTTAAAAAAAAATAATTTTCGGCTAAAACAGGGTGTACTTTTGTAAAAAAAGAAAAAGAAACGCGTTCCACAATCCTTCAACTTTTTCCTACTAATTAGTTTTCAACGTTATTCCGTATACAACGCTTTTCCTACTAATTAGTTTTCAACGTGATTCTGTATATCCAACGCTTTCCCTACTAATTAGTTTTCAACGTGATTCCGTATATCAAACGCTTTCCCTACTAATTAGTTTTCAGCGTTTTTCCGTATATACAACGCTTTCCCTACTAATTAGTTTTAATCGTTATTTTGTATATACATCGATTTTCCTACCAATTGGTTTTCAACGCTATTCCTTACATACAAGGCTTACCCTACTAATTGGTTTTCAACGTTATTTTAAAAAAAATTATCATCCCGTACACTACGTCTTGGCCATTACTCTTACATTTTAACCATTGATAGTTTTCTTTTCATTTTAAATTTAAATTTTTATTTCCAAAAAATTATTAATTATATATATATTTAATTGTTAAATTTTAATCAAATATTGTTTTTATCTTAATGAAGGGTTTACAAAAAATCAATCCCTTTCTACTATTCTTTCGACTTCTTATTTTGCCCAAAACATCTTGCCAAGAAAAATAATCAAAAAATCTAAGAAAAAGCAACTGTCTATTTTGTTTCGTTTTTTTATCTATATATATATATATATATATATATATGTATCTATTATAAAATAAATATAAGTTGATTAATAATATAATTGATCTAAAATAGCAATTTTTAGTATCAAAAAATATTATTCATCACAAAAAGAATGACTTCGCAATAACATAAAAAGAATGACTCCACAATTTTACATTAAAAGAATGATTCCACAATTTAACATAAAAAGCATGACTCCACAATTTAACATAAAAGAATGACTCCACATAACATCTTTTACTTCAACAATACCTAATAACAGTTTTAATATAAAGAATATGTTCCAACACACCTAGGAAATCTTGGCGCTAATGTGTGCGCTCTGATAAATTCTACAGTCTATATATAATACAAGTATAAAATATTTCTAAAATCTATTTTTAATACTTTTTAGCCAACCTGAAAGATCATATTAAAATATCCCACGCAGAATTAATTTGCCAAACTAAAGAAGTAATGCTAAATATTTATTAGGTATAAGAAAACACTCTAGGATGACATTTATATAAACTAGTACTTAGACATGTGTTTAAAATTAAAATACCGTTCAACAAATTTGATTATATGAAATACAAAGATATTTTTGCCTTTATATTTAAGAACTAAAATATATGGACAAGACAAACTGTACCTGTATTCAATTTATGAAACATCAAAATTAAAACCTATCTCAAAATTAAAAAGGTGCCTAGCAAAATTTATCATTCCATGGATATTTGGTCAGGAATTAGCTCTTTGTCCTATTTTTCAATTATACTGAAAATAAAAAAAAAATGATATTCTTGCCTCACCTTCACAGTGGACAAGATATATCAAATTATTTACTAAGATCTCTTGAAACATTTGAGTTTCAAAAAAATGTTATGATTGTGACTCATGATAATGCAAAAATATCATAAATGCAGCAAATATTATGTCCAATCATTATATAGAAAAATACAATATGCCCTTCCATAGTCATAGATGCCTAGCTCATGTTATTAATATAATCATTAAAGAAGGGCTAATTATTTTTGTCCAAAATTAGAAGAAATATACAAATTGAAACAATATTTGTCGCCCAAGTTTATGCAAAATATATGGATATCTCTGGTGGCACTAGATTACCGCTCGACGTGATTACTAGGTGGAATTCTAGGTATCTTATGATATCTACAATAAATAAAGTAATTTAAGCATAATCTCAAATGTTATATTTATAATATATCTTATTTTAAAGAATTTAGACGCTATTAAACGTTTAGGGAAGAATGTCTTCCAAAAGATACATTTTATATTGATGCCAATGAGTCTTAATATTTAAAAGAAGTTGAAACCCTCTAAACCTTTCTTCAGTAACTAATATATATTTAATTAAATCTGCGATATAAAAAATCTATTTTATAAAAATATAAGAATAATTATATTGATACATATATAACGCGATATCATAAATTTGCATATAATAGGCACAATATAAAAATTATTTATCGTCCAAAAAAAATAAAACTGGGTTATAGTGACAAGTTGTAACTTATATTTATTGAATTTGAGATCGATATAAATAATATTATTATAGATGAAATTAAACTAAAAAAAATTTTTTTTTAATGTTAGATCAATTGTGTAAAATTTAGTGATAAAACATGATATCATAAATAAGCCTCAAAATAGGCATAATAATATTTAAAGATAATGACTAAAAATATTTAATATAAGATAAATTTGGTATGTTACACCAGGCAGTGAGCAACATCTCTATTTTTTCCTCAGAAACTTTTTACAGCCTAGATTTATAGTTTTGTTGGCTCGCACCACAATTTTATTATCTTTTGGGCAATAATCACTTGAAATCCTATGATCAACGCTACACATCTTTACGAAGATTTTATTAAAACACTTTCTTCTCTGAACATTGATCAGAACCTAAATAAATAAAATATATAGAATATATAATATATAACACATATATCCTACTTTGTGACATCCATATCTAACCAACACTAATAGTAACTCAACTATATTTTTGAACTTAAATCTTTTGTAAACGAATAGCGGCCTAACACTTAGGGACAAAAAGAATTAATCCATATGATGTGGGAATTTCCAGAATGAATTATAAATGTTATGTATTAAACATATGTTTCGTATATTATATGATTATTTAAATGGATATTTATAAATAATGAACAAATTAGTAGATATTATACCCTTGAATCTCAATGTTGCAACAAGTATTTAAATCCTTCGGTTGAAAAGGGAAGTTGACATATGCCAAATCTATTCCTCTTTAAAATAGGAACACTATTTAATTTTGGATCATTTTTTACATTTCCACTCTTTAACTCTTTAATATCTGACATCTCTCAGACATGATAAAATTTCTGAAAAAGTTTACTCCATTTATTTTATATACATTTTGATAAAATCTTAAATCTTGATTTCCCATATCTTTGAAGCTAAGTGTATTTAATATAAATACAAATCTACATAGTTGAGACTAAATAGAAATCGTTTAATAACTAAAAGTTTGGTTAATGGTTTTAATAAATTTTATATATTATTTATAGGTTTAAATTAAGAAAATATGTTTATCTTTATCATAGATGGTGAGACAAAAGAAAAAAGCTGATTCATTCCTTCCCACTGTATGAAGTGCAATTTTATTTCTCACAAAGGAGTTAACGCGTGCATCATTTTTAATGGGGGGGGGGGGCTAGCGTGTGCGGAAAGAAATATGACACCTAGAGAAATTTTAAGTTTATTATAAGGTTTTCATAAATATAGTACATTATTTTTATCATAATTGATAATCACATAAGTATATTCAAATATTAACATAACATAGAACTGTTTAATAATTCCACATGCAAAGTATTCCATAATATATTCGTAATTGCCTCCCCGGGGATAGTTCTGGAGAAGCCGAACCAAATTTTTTCAAGAGAAAATAAATCATTTTATTTTACAAATTCTTCGATTGTGCCCCTGAAAAATTTGCAAAGCCCAAAAAGATCTTTTGAGAATAATTTTAAAAATATTTTTTAAGTCCCCTGATATTTTAGTAACTATTGACGTCCTTGCATGACCCGAAAAATATTAATAGTTCCTTTCTATTCTTATTTTTTTCCCCTAATGTCGCCATTATAATATAAATTCAAAAAAATAAGAAAAGTTTAAAAATAAAGGTGATAATTAATTACTATTAATTTTCATATCTATCTTATACTGTAAAAAATAGAATAAGAAAGATATACATGATCATGATTAAATTATCAAAGTTATTACTAAATATTTAAATTTATTGTATAATATTAAAATAGAGAATAAAATAAATATTTTGAGTTTAAGATTGAGATTTCTTTCCTATATTATTCTTTTTTTAAATTCTGATCGTAGCCCGCAGCAGGCCATGGGCCAGGCTGAGCCGAGCCCGGAACTGAAGAAAAATTGCAAAAGCTATATCTCATTTGGTATAAATTTTAATTTTGCAGGTTTTTGAAGTCGATCTCTCATATTGTTAAGATATTTTATGTTGAAAAATCATGTCTACACCAATTGTTCCATCGGCTTAAGATCTTTAACATAGCAGTTATGGATTGCAAAGGTAAATGAACAAAATTGTTCTATATTTAGATACAGGCCTAAGGCAGATTAATCTCTTATTATATATGAATACGATTACCAAGATTAAGATTTATATGATAATTATTCTTACTTTCCGAAACCTATCAATATCAAGGCAGAATAAATAAATATAATTTTAGATAACAAAATATATCCTATATTATAAGAATAAGCATGGTGAAAATAATTTTGGAAACTTATAATTCAGGCGCGTACGCAGGAATTTTGTCTGGGGGGGGATAATAAATTTTTTTAAGAAATATCATCGTTAATTAAAAATACTAAGCATAAATTTATTAGGACTAATAACTTTTCTAATACACAATTTTAAACTAATGTGAATTAAAAAAATTAAATATATATAAACCGGCATTAAAAAACTATAAAATAAATGTGAATTATGAATATAACCCACGATATGAATCACTTAAATGACCCAAAATTGAAATTTGAATTTTTTGAGCTTTTAAAATATATCAAGTATAAAAAATTTAAATGTTGGAAATATAAATTAATACACAAAGTTTCTTAGGAATAATTGTATTTTGTATGTTTTGAGCTAATTTTTCAATTATCTATCCTTGCTTAGCGTTAAATGCCTTTGAATATTCAAAAGATCCAAATCATTCAATCTACTTTCAGATGTTGTATTTCATAGGTATGTTTTTCACAGACTTGCAGGCCTGGCCCCCGAGCCGGACCGTATTTTAATTTTTTTAAATATACCCGGGCCGGGCCCGTAATTTTTTAAAAAAAACACCCGGGCTGGGCTTGAATATTTTTTTAGAAAAATATCCGGGCCGAGCTGTATATTTTAAAACCAAATATTTGAAATCACCATTATATTAGCTATAAAAATCAAAAATAAATATAATTTATTTTAAAAAATTCGGGCCGGGCCTGAAAATTTTATTTTCAAAAAAGCCGGGCCGGGCCTAAAAATTTTTAAAAAAGAATCTGGGCCGTGTCCTGCAAATGGTACCTCAGCAAGGCTCTGTTATTCTTCTTAAAAAAGAGAATGTTCTTTCATTAGTTTACTAAAGAGCTGCTAATATATATATAACCATTTTAATACATTGGGAGTATAATCTAAAATGTGTTTGAAATAATGCAAAGCATCCATAGCATTTTTTGGACTGTATCAACCATAGTTAATCTTTTAATCATAGTTATTCAGCTAATAAGGCATCATAAGATATTTTAACAACTTCATGATAAAAATCTAACAAATATTTATATTTTTTTTCTATCACCATATGAAAAAGGTAGGGAGAGGGGACATTTGTTTTATAATACTCTTCTACTGATCCTATATTAATGTTTTGACGATGAGCTTGCTTGCTGCAAGTCGAGGGGGACAAATATTTTAACTCAACAATAACATATAAAATATGAAATTCTTCATCAACATTAGCTCTAATTTCCTAGAGTTCTAATAAAATGCTCTCCGCTATTCTTATCTTCTTAATCAAGTCAATGTTACGTTTTTGAAAAGTATTACATAAAATAGTTGTATAATTAAATAATACATTCTAGTGAGAAAAAAATTTGGAATAAGTATTGAATCCAATAATATTCTTGCTTCTGATGAAATATTTCTTTCAAGCCATTGTGATATTTCAGTAATAGCATTAATAATCGGCTCTTTTAACTCCATAATAGCTGTTACTGCTTGATGGTGGAGACTCGATCGTTGGACAAGCTTGCAATTTCTTTCTCCCTGTTGGACAAGGAGTTTCAGAGATAATTATTAATTGACTAGATATTTAGATAAATATTACGCCACTAAAATTTGAAAATAATAGGTAAATAGGAAAACTTGAAATCGAATTTAATTGATAAAATAACTTAGTCGATGAATGTGATAAATAAATGTAATTAAATATATATATATATGAGATAGGAATAAATATTAACAAATATAAATTAATATTAACAATAATATTTTTGAAAAATATAATCCGGCTTATGCATTTTTTGGCTTGGGGGGGATTTGTCCCCCCCACCGCTTCTTACGCCAATGTTATAATTCATATGTTTTAGGAGAGAAATGAGCCTCTTATATATTGCGATTATCTGAAGACAATGTAACATATATTTTTAACTGAGATTAATATTGACAATCTACTAAAAAATGTTGAAATTGGGCCAAAGTTACAAAGGTTGGAGCGTCTCAACATAAAATTATATTAAAGATATTAAATATTTTAATGGCATTTGATAGTTCAAAGAGAGATAGATAAACCTGTAAATAAATCGTTCTTATTCTTCAACAATTTAAGTATAAATTTATTTAAAGATTATAGAATTGTATTTTGAGTGCGGGATTTTTAAAGTTAATAAGCGCCAATGTATCTTATAAAATTTTAGTTAAAGAGCACCTTTTATTGTTAATTTTTTTTTCAACTAGTTTTATCTTAAAATTAAAAGAATTAATCGTGGCCTAGGGTTTGGAGTTACTTTAATTGGAATTCGACTTTGCTATTCTAGACTGGCGAAAAAGAAAGCCATAAGTGTTTAAATCATAAAACTAACTTGCTTCAATTACAATTCGTAAGTTTTTAATGCATTCTATTATGAATTATCGTTTATTCTGGTTCCCTTTAGATTCTTCCCCTTATATTAGATTCCTTGAGGAGGCATTGCAGGTTATGTAAATTCTGTAGATTTTTATTGGTATGCATTAATATGCGGAAGATAAAATAATAGATAAATTATGTTTCATCGAAAAATAACATTTCAAGATTTTAACAAACAAAAAATTAATATAATAATTCACAAGGCTCTTGATCAATTTTATTTTTGGGGTGCCTAATTTAAACCCAGAATCCTAGAAATTACAACTCTATGACACTCCTTTTTTCATTCCTCACTCTTTGTTAAATTGATAACTTATAGTTTAGAGGTTAAAAAGATTATTGGAGGAAACCAATTGTATTAAATAAAAACTATAAATATATCAACTTTATTTTACAAGCAATATTTATTCTCAGAAATATGAACATCAAAATAATTGCAATATAAAATTTATATAATTTATTTTTTAAATATTATTAATTATATTAGTTGGTAAAATAAATTTCGAAACTTATGATTTATACATGCTAAAAAGTAACACCAATTAATTCGTCGTAATTATTATGTCATCCCTCCCAAATCATATTTATAGGCCATATTGAGATCCTAATTTAATTTCTTATACAACATTTCACATATATTGAAAAATCAAATTCTTCTATTTGTTAATAAAAATCTACAGATATTAAATATGTATTGTATAAATGGGTCATACATTAAATGGCTGAAACAAATCTTATAATAAAATTCATTGTCATCGTTAAATTTTGCTGCCTTTCAATACCTTTCAATCGTGATTTTATTTCAAACTATTCTGACCTGTAATAATATATTATGCTAAACTAAGTTTCATATGAGTATACATTTTATTGAATGATTATTGTGATATAAACATGGAAGGGGGGGGGGCGCTAATTTTAATTATTATAATTTAAAAAATAAAATGCAATATTATTTGAAAAGATTTTTAAAATAATATTGCATATTATTGCATGTTTTGAATAGCTTTAAAAAAATAATATATTTCTTTCCACCTTACGACTCAAGTGTTAATATAATTCCTTCATTGGCGTACGCAGCGGAAGGGGGGGCAGGGGGACAACCCCCCCCCCCAAGCCAAAAAATGCAGATGCCGGATATATTTTTCAAATCCGGCGTAATATTTACTTATTATTTTCAAATTTTTAGTGGCGTAATATTTATCTACCATTTCCAAATTTCTAGTCAAATAATAATTATTTCTGAAACTTCTGGTCCAACAGGGAAAAAGAAATTGCAACCTTGTCCAACGAGATAGAGCCTCTTCCATCAAGCACTAACCACTATTAAGGAGTTAGAAGAGCCAATTATTTGCTATTACTGAAATATTACAATGGCCTGAAAGAAATATTTCCTCAGAAGCAAGAAAATTATTGGATTCAATGCTTATTCCAAATTTTATTTCTCATTAGAATGTATTATTTAATTATACAACTATTTTAAGTATTACTTTTCAAAAACATGACAATGATTTGATTAAGAAGATGAGAATAGCGGAGAGCATTTTATCAGAACTCAAGGAAATTAGGGCTAATGTTGATGAAGAATTTCATATTTTATATCCTATTGTTGAGTCAAAAGCAGAGCTATACGTGTTTAATATTTGTCTCCCTCGACAGCAAGGCAAGTCATCGTTAAAACATTAATATAGGATCAGTAGAAGAGTTTATCTTAGATGCAGATACATTTATAACCCAAATAAATGAATTTTTAATATGTCATGCAGCACTTACATATGCAAATATTACTTCCACAAAAGCCTTCCCAACCTTTTTCAGATGGTGATAGAAAAAAAAAATATTTGTTAGATTTTATTATGAAGATGTTAAAGTATCTTATGATGCCTTACTAGCTGAATAACTATGTTTATAAGATTAACTATAGTTGATATAGTCCCAAAAAATGCTATGGATGCTCTGCATTATTTCAAACACATTTTAGATTAAATTCCCAATGTATTAAAAGGGTTTATAAACTCTTCCCATTAGTAAACTAATGAGAGAACACTCTCTTTTTTTTAAGAAGAATAACAGAGGCCTGCAGAAGTACCATTTGCAGGGCACGGCCCGGATTTTTTTTAAAGATTTTTTACGCTATTTTTAAAAAATTTTTTAGGCCGCTCGGCTTTTTTTTTAAATTTAAAGGCTCGGCCCTGCTTTTTTTAAAATAAAATTTTCAGGCCCGGCCTGGATTTTTTAAAAATAAATTATATATATTTTTGATTTTTATAGCTAATAATAACGATATCAAATAAAGGCTGTTTTAAAAAATACAGCCCGGCTTGGGTGTTTTTTTTAAAAAATTTAGGTCCAGCCCGTTGTTTTTTAAAAAATATTTTGGGCCCGGCCTTGGTATATTTAAAAAATTAAAATATTGTCCGGCCCAGGAGCCGGGCCTGCAGGCCTCTGAAAAACATACCAAGAAGTACAACATGTGAAAGTAGATTGAAAGGTTTGGATATTTTGAATATTCATAGGCATTTGACGACAAGCAAGGATGAGATAATTGAAAAATTAGCTCAATTCCAACGAAGATTGGATTTTACATTGTAAATATATAACATACAAAATACAATTATTCCTAAGAAACTTTTTGTGTAAAGGCTCAAAAAATTCAAATTTCTATTTTGGGTCATTTAAGTGATTCTTTACATATAATTTTTTTATAATTCACATTAATTTAAAATTGTGTATTAGGAATAGTTATTAGTCCTAATAAATTTATGCTTGATATTTTTAAAAAACAATAATATTTCTCAAAAAAATTTATTATCCCCCCCTCCAGACCAAATTCCTGCGTATGCGCCTGAATTCCTTGTAAACATCTTGGTTCTTTAATGATATTGCTGATTTTAATTTAGCTTTATTAATATCACACTGGCTAAATTAGTTTATCAATACCTGATTCTGATACACAATGAAAACGAAGCATCAATAATAATACCCTTTCCTAGTTCAATAAAATTAGCTAGGAATTTTCTCGTCGAATTTGGAATTAGTAAAATGCTTGACCAATATGCATTAGTCAAATTAAGAAACAATGTGTTAAAATAGAATTTATCGGCGATAAAATTTGTAGCTTGCTTCAGTGAGATAGAACGGGAGCATAAAAACATGTTTAAAATGATATATAAATAACATCAAAATAACTTTAACACTTTATTAATACTTAAGGTTGAATAATTATATCAAACTATATTTAAAGATATTATAGGATTTAATATATGAATTATTTTATTATTTTTTTATATTAGATCCAAATTTTCCAAAGATAAGTATATCATAAAACTAACTTTTGGAAGTAGATAGAGAGTGAAGATGAAGAAGACCGGCAAGAAAGGGGGTGACGATATAAGAGAATATGACGCTGTTAGACCACATTTGACATTGTATATAGTAAATCAATTTTTGCGTGATAGAAGTAATTTTTAAAATTATTAAATGAATTACAGGAGAATCTAGATGGAAAAAATCTTCATGCAAAAACCTCATTCGTAAATTAAAATTATTACAATAGGGTAGTCATCATATAATAATTCACCTTACATACGAATAGAGTTTGAAAAGTATTGTCTTGAGCTAAATATTAGACACCCTAAGAACATCGCTATTTTATTTATAAAAGCTAATATTCCAGAGGTGCCAAATATCACTCTCAATATTTATATCTATCTCAGAAAATTTAGAGATATAGTTATAAAATAGTCATCCATTATATTTAAAGTTTCTTCATATACTTACAAATTTCAGCCAATGCTATGTTATTTGGTTTGAAGAAAGAAAGATTATATTAAAGTTCCCCTACCATCATAAAATAAAAATAAAATTTTAAGTAATAATTCATTCATGAAATTTATATAGAAGAAACCATAAAATATTTATGACTTGGTTGGTTTTATATACACTTTAAAGGACTTTAAGTATTTACTAGAAAAATTATTTTAATAAAATTTAAACAAATTTTCATTAATTAACTCGTTTGAGCTTTTAAAGAAATTGTTGTGGACTTTAATATTATTCCCTTAAGTATATATTTTTTGTAATAAATATATTTAGTTATTTTTTTATAAATTATAATGACACGTATGATTTATATATGACCGAAAATTTTAATTACATTAAAATAAAGTGCCTAATTTCCGCAAAAACGTAATCTGCATATTTTTAAATTTATAATTTTAATATTTGATTAAAATTATAAATACTAAAGTTATATTAAATATTTAAATAAATTAAATAATTACTGTTATGCATTAAATATAAATCCGAATTCCGGATAGGAATAAATTTGTTTAATCCATTGAAAAGGCCGTTAATATAATTATTAATCTAAATATTTCATATTAATTTATTTTTAAAATTTACCCAAGGGAAAAATCTTTAATATAATTATAATGTGACATTTTAGAGTATTATTTACAAAGAAAATAAAAATAGTTTTGTGTAAAATCTTAATTCAAATGGGTTGCAATATTATAGTAGATAACCAATGACAGGCAATTTTATGATTAGTTGCATTAATTTTTACGTTATAGGCCAATCTTTATCTATTTCCTTTTATTGGGCTATGGTAACCTTTGGCAGTTTAAATATTTTTTCTGCCCTGTTAAAATAGTATAATAGAAGATATAAATCAATTTGTATTTTATAAGTAATAAAAAATTTATTCTGGTGTCTGTTTTATATAAGTCTTTCAGGCAAATTATTAACTGCAAATCTTAACCAAAACCAGTATAAACTATGCAAATAATCGGCCAAAATGCTGTAAATCATCATAAATGAACAAGATTATTACTAAGATGAGACATGCAGTCATAATAATTCTTATATATCCTCTATATCTTTAAGGAATGTATATTATATTGAATAAAATAAGAAGTGGTATCAAGATTTTCATTTTTTATTTATATATTGGTAAATTAATTTATAAATCAATGCGAATTTAAACAGTAGCTTTATGAGATTTTATTATTCATGACATATTTATAGTAAGCACAAGAATATCACGATAAATACATGGCTTGGAGAGCTATATTTTATTATTTTTGCGCTAACTAGGCATCCTAAAGAGTCCAAATATTTTCATTTAGGCGCGCTGAAATGCGTTGGGTTAAATTTAATTTAGACGTAGAATAATTCTCTTTTAAAAATGTTTAAATTAACCAAATATTGATTAAAGTGGTCAAATCCTAACTAATCTTTAAAAAAAACCAAAAAACTTCCAGAAAAATCAATGAAGTTTTTAGCTAAAATCTTCCACATGTACATATTCAAAAATATATTTACCCACGTCCAACACAAGAATAATTTTTTTAAAAATATATATGATATTTTTGGTAGAAAAATATATTATAAAAGAAATTATAATTATCTGACTATTTAGTACACGTGAATCGTCAGAATATCAATGTTATATTATATAAAGTCCTTAAATTATTTATTAATATAATATTTCAGTAAAATGATTAATTTTGGCTTTTTTGGAAAATATTTTTTTGTTCGATTAATATTTCTTTATTGTTTATTGTAAATCACTAATTTATTGATTCTAACTATCTCTAGTCACTATAATACTATTATATAATATCAAATAAGTAATATCTTAACGAATTTATAAATATATTATTATTATAAATTTATTTATAATTTATTGTCAAAGCTAAAAACTTTTTCTTTATCCGTTTCATTTTTTAGGGACAATATATACTATTATTACAAAAGTAAAAATATAATTTCATAATAAAAAAAATTAGGAGGAAATTAAAAGGTATATATATATTAAAAGTAATATAAATGCTCTATTACGAAATTTATGAATATAATAAGACTGGCCTATAATTTTTACTTATATTTTGCTCAATAAAACCATTATTATACACTATAATGCAATATGTGACACATGAAGGTTTTTATATTTCTTTCTTTTTGTGCGCAATAAACCTTAAGTGAAAGGTAAATCAGCATACTTTGCTTGCATTTTAATAAACTATATTATTAAACTAGAAATAATTGAGCATACTAAAAGTGTTGTTCAATATATTATACATTTTAAAATTTCATATTAACTCTTTACGCTGGATTTAGATTAGTGATACACAAAATACATTAAAATATTTCTAATGTATGTTAACTATTTGTAATATGAGAAAAAATTTGTTTTTCCCATTATATTATAAGTAAAATAATTTTAATTTGACCAATTGTCTAATTTGGTAAAAAATTGAAAGCCTTTTCAGTGATCCGATTATAGAGGTTTTATGGAATACATAAAAAATCATAATAATTTTATCTAAACAAACCAATCTATTATAAATAAATCGCGTGCTTAAATAAAGTGATTTATAATGATAACATATTAATATTTTGGTAAAAACTAATATTTATATCTAATAGAACATAGAAATCAGAAAGACATTTTATTTTGGCTATTAAATATTTTTTTTACATAATAAAACAATCCTTAATATCAATAATGAATGAGTTTAATTTTTTAATTTAATTATTCATGCATAAAGATCTACTCCTTTTATAATTGAATTGAATATTATTTAAGTTTAATATTAAAATGCATAATAAATAAATTTCGCTCAATTTTTTTAGGATTATCAGTTGTTAAACACAAGAACAAGATAATACTGGCATACACAAATACGAATTATACAATTATTATAATTTTAGGATAATAGTAGAGGTAGGAATCCCTAAAAATAACTATTAAAAACAATTAAATTAATGAATGAAAAAAGGGGGAGGGGGATAAATTATCTTTTTAAATAATATATTAAACCGTTTTCTTTAAAACTTATTTTTGTTTTTAAAATATTATACAGACCAGGGGTTCGAACCGAACCGAACCGCAAAACCGGAATGAACCGTTATGATGTTCTGAACCGTAACTTTAACCGAACCGTTATGAAGAAAATATTAAAAGAGTAAACCGAACCGTTATAAATATTTTTAACCGGTTTAAACCGAAAACGGTTTTAAAAATAATTAATTTTAAATTATTAACCTAAATTTAAAATTTTAATTTTCCTTGGTGGCATTTTTTAAATTGGTGATTTCTTTTCAAATTAAATATTTCCATATTATCAACATTATATATCAAATTAAATATTTTTATATTATCAACATTATATATCAAATGATACCAGATTTGTTGTTTTTTCTTTAAATACTTAATTTATAAGAGATTAGACAATTTATCTGTTAATTAGATTAGATATCTTAAAATCAGACATAATTATTCTTGGCTAAATTAAATTTTTTATCTCATTATAAAAACTTGGATCATAGAATTTAAATGACAATAAATAAAATAGTCGGCAATATTTTAATGATATAATAATTTTTTATTTATAATCATTGTTTTTTTAAATTCAGAATTCTAATATTATAAATTATTTATTATTATAATATGTTAGTTAGCATTTACCATTATCATATATGCAAAATAAAAAAATATGATTAAAGAATGGCATTAGTAATGAATATTTTTCTAAATCTGTATTTTTAAATAATAAAAATCTTACTATAAATCGTTTAAATAAGTTAATTAACATTGCATTAAATTATTTTTATACTTTTATTTATTTATTAATGTGTTTTATATTTAAATAAACTTACAGTGAATTAAAAATAGGAATTACATTTTGATGTTAAACTAAATATAAATACTATAGTTTAACTTAAATTACCTATTCTGTCATATTATATTAACATCTAACAGAAATAAAGTACTGACCAATTTTTATATAATATTGTTTTACAATAATTTCTTATTAATTGATATATTCAAAAAAAGTTTATCTTAGTTTATATAGAATATATCGGAGTGGGTAATTTGAATTAAACTATACTAGTTATATTTAGTTTAACATCAAAATGTAATTCCTATTTTTAAATGTAAGTTTATTTAATATTAAACACAAATAAATAAAAGTATAAAATAATTTAATGCAATGTTAGTTAACTTATTTAAACTGAAGATTTATAGTAAGATTTTTATTATTTAAAAATACAGATTTAGAAAAATATTCATTACAAATGCCATTCTTTAATCATATTTTTTTTTATTTTGCATATATGATAATGGTAAATGCTAACTAACATATTATTTTAATAATAAATATTAGAATTCTGAATTTAAAAAAAATATGATTTTTATAAATAAAAAATTATTATATCATTAAAATATTTATTGCTGACCATTTTATTTATTGTCATTCAAATTCTATAATCCAAGTTATTTAAAAAAATAAAAATGAAGGTAAAATTGTTTCTATTAAGCTTTTTTATTTATTCTATTTATATAATAAAAGATTTTCATCTATCATCATATAGCTTTTTAGTTATCTATTAAATGGTTCGGAAAAAGTCAAATCCTGTGCGTTCCTATTTTAAATTAGATATCATTAAAAATCAATCTATTTGTAAAATAGAAGATTGTGGTAAGATCTTAATTGGAGACCATGCTGCAAATCTTGAACGACATATAGAAAGATTCCACAATAGGGAATTCAAATTATTAAGAAAAAAGAAAGAAAATTTGACTATTAAAAAAAT